CCCTCCCAAATTCAATTCTCTCCTGGAGAACGTCTTCGTGAGCCTCTCTTGATTTCAGGATAGTTGAAACCCTCTTGAACATTCAGAAAGAGTGCATATGAAATTCTAATCACGAAAGGTGTTCCGCGAGGGGATACATACCTAGAGTTTGTTTTGTGAAGCACGTCAATTCTCTCCTGGGGAACGTCTTCGTGAGCCTCTTAATTCAATTCTCTCCTGGAGAACGTCTTCGTGAGCCTCTCATGATTTCAGGATAGTTGAAACCCTCTTGAACATTCAGAAAGAGTGCATATGAAATTCTAATCACGAAAGGTTCCCCGAGGGGATCGAAAGGTGTTCCCCGAGGGGATACATACCTAGACCCTGAACTTCAAACAGTAGTTAAAAAAACCACTGTTGGCATTCAGCGGTTTATTTGCCATTTCCTCTTTTCCTCAGAGGTTTTCTCGTCTGGTAAAAAAACCACCGAGACATCCAGGAATGCCGTTGCAAAAAAACAACGGTTCTTTGTGCAAAAAAACAACGGTTCCTGGTATACCAGGCTGACACACATGAGTTTCTTTTTTCTCTTAGCGCTGTCGATCCATTCGCTTCCTTGCCCCGGCATTCAACCTTGGAAGACCAACAATTCATCTAAAACAGCTTGTGCTTATGTGCATTGTCACACATACAAGTCAAGAAACAATGAGATTTTGATGTCCATTGAATGCACACGTAGTTTCGTCAACCACATCACCCAATGAGCTCTCCGTCTTGGATGCCCTTTGAGTGCTGCCCCTGGGTGAACACAGGCGTAGTTTCAATTTCACTCGACACATCCACACCATGTTCACACACAATATGTGCCGACTGAAGTGCCCTTCAACCACCGCATGGCATCTTCCTCCCGATAACAGTGGTAAAAGCGCATGTTGTAGAGGGATGATTTGGAATCGCGGCCAAGCTTGATGACCATCTTAGCAAATTCAATTTTGTAAGGGTCTCAAATTGAATTCAATCGCTCAAACTGTGGAAAGTTGCGAAACTTGCAAAGGTTCAAATCTGAGCTACCAAGGTACGTGAATCTTTGGTCGTAGTCGAAACTCATCACGGTTCTCCCTGGGAACTGAATAAAACAAGAGTTGTTGTCATGCTGACGTCATGACTGTGTCCGCTGTACACTCACTTCCTGCCTGACAGCGTGCCGCACCAACGTGATATAGCGCTTGGCCAGTCGCTGGGTCGTTTGATAAATTGCACTGCCTTCCTCGCGGGTCAGATACCGTCCGGCGTGCTCACACAAGCCGTGAAGCTTGGCCAGTGCGGTCCTGAACTTCCACGACAAACAAATCAATTTGAAAAGTCCTGAAATTACTGAAACACATGCATGTCTCTTTATTTCAACTGCATAATTCCATAGAGGCACATGCAGGATGACATCACGGCCAAAGGTCGATTGGGTTCAGAGTCAAAGTCACCTGACCTGCTCGCAGCGTCCTGTAAACAGGTGTGAAGCCACTGCGAGATTATTCGCCCGTTAAAACTCTTGGCGGTCCACATGATGGAGCCGTCTCTCTTGAATACCTTGGTCTCACAAAAAGGGTCGACCAACAACAAGATTGTTCATTTTCTGAAAAAATAAAGGTTCCAAATTCCAAAGCTTCTTTCATTCCCACACCCAAACACCATGTTAGCTCGAAATGGAGGCTGAGAGCAATGTATTCTAGACGCACGGAGCCACAATCTAAAGTGGTCATACGCCTTGTCAAAATGAGATTGATCACGCACTGGCAAACCACCTGGGGCATGGAAGTAGTTCATCTCGAGCAACGTCAGCCTGCACTCAGCAAAGTGTTCCCAACCCGACGATGGAACAATTGGAAGAAATCACAAAAAAGTTCAATCACCAACATACGCAACGTACTATCACGCACCGAGAAGCAGTCCACACCCGTTGATGTCATATGCAATTCCCAAGTTGATAACGTGCATAGAGCATACTTTCAAAATTTGCGGATGGAATCCGGGTGCTAAAATGATTGGGCCTAGGCTCTTGGTAATTCGACTGGGACAGCCAACAAAAAACAGGAGATTTGGGTTGATCCATGCATGCATACCTGCTTTTGCAGGTCAAGGCGCAAGGATCAGGCTTTGTAAGTTGTCTTGCAAAAAAGGCTCCAGTATCAAATTCTTCCCATGCAGGCTGGTCATCCCAAAAGTTGAAGAACAGGCCAGCTTCATGACCCTTTCCTGCAGCACTGCACCTGTAGCATACGTTCTTGGTTTGCTGCCAGTTTCCAAAAAAGCGGAATATCTGGCGATGCCACAACCAATCCCCCTTGAGCTCTGTCAAACAAAAAACTCGTCCATTGGCAAGAAGGCTACCATCTGGGTCCAAACCTTTGAATGCAATGTTCAATGAGTAGGCGATCCGCCTGTAAACTTTATTCAATGTGACGTGTCGGTAGAGCTTGTGTTCCTCGAGTGCCCACAAGCACCAGCAACCGCATCTTGTCGAGTACGGTCGCCACAGCGGCAATGACAAGAAAATGCCGATCATTTTGCCTCCAGCAGTGCTCAATTTTGCTGCGTCCCCGTAGACTGCCACAGGAATGTGGCTGTCACTGGCTGGAGACTCTACATACCCAACCTGTGGACTAGTATGCCTAACGTGGCGCCAGAATTGTCGCACGTCACTCTCCCTGACTTGGATGCCAGTAGTAGTGAAGAGGTGATGAAGAAGCAAATGGGGCTCCAACATTTCCTGCTCTTGGATTTCAAATCCGGAAGCCACCTTCTCATTGGACACTGGTATTCGAATTCTGGTCGTTTCCTGAGAACCACTCGTGAGCACGAGACAGCTGACAAAATACAGATCAGAACTACGCATTTTAGCAAAGGAAGCGCGCTAATGCGGCAAGAGTCCAGCCCTGTTCGAGTCAACCGTTTGAGATCACGAGCCTCGTTCCCAGGCCTCAATGAGCCCAGCCTCAGGCTCTTTGGTTGGCATAGGCCACGGCTATCCTGCATGCATGAACTTTCTCTGAACTTCAAACAGTATTGAAACATGGGTTGGGATGCCGATGCACATGCAAGAGTGGTGTGATCCCCACGCTCTATCCAGCCTGAACGTGGCTTCTTGCTCTTTTCAACGCACGGCGGGCAGTGGTGACCTGTGCTACCATGTCTGGACACATCTGGCATCATCTGGCCACGCTTCTACACACACTTAAACCCAAGAACTTAATCAGATCCAAGCCACCCCGGCTTGCAAATCATCCACGATGTCATAGAAATATGGCTCGTCAACGCTCTGTGTACCTCCGATTGATTGCGGCTGCAAGATCGACTCTGGTTTAATCCAGCGAGCACCACGGCTCCTTGATGCACTGGGTTTTGGATCCTCGAGACCTGCCTTGATCACAACGCAACTCCGCCAGCCATATGGCAAACAAAACTAGTAGACCCCAAATTGCACATGCTTGGCTCACTGTCACAAAAGACGGAACACTGCATTCACTCAAGCGCAACCCTCAAAAAGTGCAAACTGACCGGTCATGACCTGATCATCATGAGTGAGCCCATGTGATGCCCCCTTGAAGCTTCCACCAAAACCATGAATGCGGCTAGCCCACCACGCTCTGCCCAAAGAAACTTTAATTCAACAAATTCGAGAACAATCTGGAAAAGCTTCCTAGAACTGTGACAGAGCTATCCCATGCAATGGGCACCACCGCCTAATCACGGTCCGGGTCAGTGAGACAAAATCTGCTGATCAGGCCATGCTGATGGTTCCCAAGAAAGCCTTGAACTTATCAAGGGCAGTCTTACCCACCTTCTCAGACGCTTTCACTTTTGACTCCTAGCGATCGATCGGAAGCGAGCCCTATAACGATCCAAAGTGATGTGCACGTTCTGTCTTGGAGTGCCGAAAGGAACGTCCTCCATACTATCGAAAGCATTCTGGAGTCCGTCTCGAGCTGTCTGAAGATTGCCCTTTTGAGTCTCAAGGGACTTCTCAAGAGGGGCCCTCAAATCGTTGGACCTTGGGGGATGCAAAAAAGGTTCATCACATCAAAATGCCCGTATAAATCTTGCAGCATTCGATGGATGCACCAAGAAGCAGCTTGCCAATCTTCTGGATTTTTGCACGCGCTTCGGCGATGCGGGCCGTCAGCTGATTCAGAACCTGGCAGGCACAGCCAAAGAAAAACTTGTCAAGGAACATCAAATTAAGAAGCTGCCTTCTTGGCTTCCGCAGTCTTTGTTTTCCATGCTTCTTTTGCTTCCTTGACTTTGTTCCTTTCCGCCTCTCTCTCCTCCTTCTTACGCTGAGCCTCAGCCTCCTTCTGCTGTCGCCTTTCTTTGTCGGCATTGGACTCAGTCTTCGTCCGATTCCGTGGCTTCTTTGTCTTCCTCTTGCTTTTGCCTCCTCCTCCTCCACCTTTCTCTTTTGCATCCTTACCCTTGCGTGTTTTCTCCTTTTCTTCTGCTGTGTCATGACTGCGACTGCGACTCTCTTCATCGGAGGTAGACGGAGATCTTCTGCGCTTCTTACGGCGCCGCTGGTCACGCTCAGCCTCAGATGAGCTTTCATCCACTTCCTCATGGACTTGATCCAGTATCGTTCGATCCTTCGACACTTCGCTTTCACCATCCCAGCACAAATACAATGTCATTTCCTAAGACGAGTGAGTGGCCGGGTGCTGCGTGTCAAGTTTGTCGTCTTATGGTTAGACCGGCCACCA